GAAGAAACTTTACAAGTCGTGATGGTCAAATCGGAAGTCGATGTCGTGATGATTAAAAGTAAATTGCCCCCCCCCACCCCCAGTCAAACCGGAACTGGGAATCATAGGTCTTCGATTAGTCAAAGGGCCGGTTGAATTATGACTCGCTAGAGGCGCCTCTTGCCGGACATGGTTTTGAAAAATGTATTTCCCACTGCAAACCTCACCATCCCGTTGTGTCGAACGACGGGGTTTGGAATAATTTCGGATGGCGGCCAATATTCATTAAGTCGTTGTACCGCGTTCACTTGTGGACACTTTATGGTGCTCTGTTAAGGCCAGTTATTGTCATGTTCTTTTGAACCGAGAGCCGAAATCTTTTTTTTAAAGTCCATTGTCTATTGTCCACATCAGTGTGGATCGCGCCTTAACAAACGCCAAATGTGTATCTGAGAAGGTGACTCGATCGCTGGGACAACACTTATTTTTGCGTGACGTTTGGACATCCGTCGCGGATTCTTCATTAGAGACATAAGCAAATATGTGTTGTGTTTTCAGTCTTAGAGCTTGTAGTGTTCCCTATCCTAAGTAGATCTGTCGATCATCTTTTTATAAACATATTCTGCCTTACACAATTACGCCAACATCAGATGTTGGCTAGCCCAAGAGCCCAAACTCCGCAGTTTTGGAAGGTTGGTATTTCGAAGATGGTGGTTCGCAGGAGAAGGATTAAGTCGCCTGAAGTTCTGTTCGGTTTTGCGCGGTAGAAGGTGGCCGATGAACTTTCGTAAACGACTCAAGCAAAATGTCGTTTCAGTGAGCCAGTACGCATTTCAAATCTCCCATATCCCACCTTAAGCTACAAACAGGCAGCTACTCGTTAACGGTCATCAAATAATCTTTGATTTCTTTGGCTAAATATACATTTGCGCATTTTATATATTGCCTAGGTTTAGCGCTGCCGCATACGAAATAAAACATCTGGTCCGGCTACTGCTCCACTTGCATAGCCACCAGGCATATGTTAGCATTACGCGTATTTCCAAAGTCCTAGGACTTGTTCTTTCAAAGTTCACCAAGTCCGACGAACCCATGTTTCAAACAAGCCAGTCGTAGTATTTGAAAAGAAGGAGATGCAATCGCCCGGGCAGGACTTAGATTGGTCTAACGTTTCGATATCCGTCGCGGATTCTTCATAAGAGACATCAGCAGTACACATTAACAAAAACGGGTCTATGATAAAGGATCCACGACGGATGGACAAACGTCGGGCGAATCAAAGTATTGCCCCAGCGATCGCATCGTCTGCTTCTTAATTTCTTCCTCGGACTTGCATGTTCCCTTGTGACAAGTCGTTGTACCTTCGAGTACGAAATCAGTGCAGAAATTCACCATTAGTACATTTAAAAATACTACTTTCATTTTAATTATAAAATACCATTTGATATGTCAAATGCGTTAACCTACATTTATGAGCTCAAACTCGATTTTGAAAGTCACCTCGTTTTGCGTCCGGATGATTTCACTTGAACTTAAATAGTCTCGATGGACGTAGTGCCTCTGCGATTGATGTTCGTTAACTTGACGTTAAAAGCCACGAATATTAGCATTAGGCGTCAGAAGACTGGTCTGGGATATATGCGCAGCTGCTGATTTTTTCTGTCCTGTCTAAGGCATCGGCGTTAACTTCGTGCGTTATTTCGTTAAGGCAGTAAATGTCTTGAAATATTTGCATCCCAAGATATTAATTATGAGAAGAAGACTTTCTTTGGGAAATGTCCAGTTTTATCGGGTTAATTTTCGACATGGACCAACCGGTCGTCGTCAGACGTGAAAAAATTGTGCAACAAACAACTAACATGATTAAACGTTGGGAAAATCAATATTCCTCAGACGTATGTGCCGATTGGCAGGAGCTTTTGTTCCGTGCTAGTAGATGTTATGTGCTTTCCGTATTTTGGCTGTCAGCGGTGATTTGGTGG